AAAAAGAAGAATATGGCAAGAGGTCCCATATATGGTGGTGGGGAGCACTGTTATTGTATTTGAGTTGATGTGTTCTATGTATATGATTTGTTTTTGTTATAGTTAATAAAATAAAATAAATATTAAAAAAAAAAAGAAATCAAGTCTGGCTCCTGTTTACCTACACGTTAGTTCACTTGTCTTTATTCATTTCCAAGCAGATACGCAAACTGGCTGCAGTCTAAGCACTCTTTGCTTAGGAGATCTGATGCTTTGTTTCAGGGCATTCAGTCAAAAATGGGACAAAGTTAATTTTCTGGATTACCGCTTTCAGAATTCTGCAGCCAGCATAGGATTCTGGGAGTTGCAGCCTCCACAAAGTAACTTTTCAAGCTCTGATCAGGATTCCACTAATAGATGGAGGTGGGAGATGCTAGCTAATAAGGGGAATTGTGGGACCAACCAGAGCTGTGAATTTTGCACAGCAGAATCCTCGGTTTCAGCAGGTCAGGAGTGGCAGTGGAAGGAAGGGAAAGGTTCAATTCTGAGACACTTTGTTCCTCTTCCCTATTTGAAAGCTGCAGCTGCCATCAGGTTCTGCCCATTCCTCCTTATGAACACCCGTCCATCTCCATCTCCTTTTGCTTCAAAAGGAAGAAAGGGCATTAGGATCATGTTTCACATATCTGTTCCTTTAGCAGAACCTTCCAAATATACAAGAAAGCAAAGTGAAACTGATTTTTATGTGGTATTTCCACCATTCCCTTTTGTTCCCGAGCCAACTACTGAACTGGTAAACTAGTAAACGACTTCCAAGATTTGGTAAGGATTCTCTTTGTGCCTAGGGATCTGAATTTATAGTCCAGAGATGCCTCTTAACAAACATCTTTCCAGAATTTTCCAGAGCTTTTCACTTCACTTTCATTCTTTGCCAATAAAATGTATCTAAAAAAATAAAATAACCCGGAACACTGATCCTCACATATCTTTCCTCCTCGTCCCCAGTCCCCCACAGCTGTACATTTGAAGTCTCTAGTAACAAAATGGCTAAACGTCTTCTGAATGAATGACACATAGATGCACCGCTTTTGAAATTGTAAGCAGGCATAAAGAAGAAGAAAATAAAGGGGGCAGGGAGAGAATAGAGCAGCCTTCCCCTTCTCCAAAAGAAGACCATGTTATCTACAAACAAAACAAGACAAGACAAAACAAAACAAAAACCACACCAACATTCTTATCCCTCCCACATTCTTCTACTTGGATAAATGAACTCGTTCTTTCAAAAGAACATGGAAAACATATACCCTGTAGAAGAACCTTTCCAGCACTAAGAAATATTTTTGACCATACTAGCAGCTGAAGAAGTTTAGACAGCTGAAGATGCCACTTGTCACATTCCAGTGGTCAACCCTTGGCTAATTTGTTCCTTCATTTCCTGCTGTGAGAGGTCATTTTGTCTCACACAACTAAAACAAGGAATGGGGCTAGTGTCTAACCAACACAAGCACCCATGCTATGACTTCATTTTATTTTGTTTTGCTCCTGTGCTACAACAGCAAGTATCAACCCTTTTTTCGGTCAGCTTTGCACAGATGTGGGATCCAACAGGTCACACAGAGCACATTTGAAAGTAAACAGAAATGGTTGAGGAGAATAATGTAGAAGTTGGTGTGCAACATTTTCAAATCAGAAAGCCACATGTGATCCACGTTTGGGACTCAGGGGTTGTAAGCAAATGTGTGTTTGCGTGTGTATGTAATGTGTGTGCGTGCATGCATACGTGAGCATGTGCACATACATGCCAGGGATTCGGATACTGATTGCTTTTTCCTTATTGCTTGCAGCAGCAGAAACAAAAAAAGTATGCATGAGGATTGCTGCAGAAAGTACTGGACAATACAGATTAGAGATAAAATTGGGAGTTGCAAAGATTCCGTAGTATGGAGGGAAGGGACACAGTTAAAGCTGTACGTTCTTCAGATGGAACTATTCAATACGCATTTCTGTGTTTTTATTAGATTTCAATCAAGGATGTAAAAAAACTATTTCTAGCTGGCGGGTTCAACTTGCTAGGTCCAGTCTTGGCCGTAGCATCCCAAGTTCTTGAGCCACCTGAGACAGGAGAAGCATTGCAGCTCCCTTGCCTCTGCACCAGCCCCTCCTCTTTGTTGCCATCCATGTTGTCACCAGTCTCTAGTCCTCTTTGCAGCACTGCTCGTTCTTTGAAAGGGACAACATGTTCTGAAGCAGAAGACCAGCCCTGCCCCCAAACATGCTGGCCACTTAAAACAATGGGCACATATACAGACAGGGCTGGCGACTATACAGTCCCTGTCAGTCCCTTGTACCTTGTATCAAGGCCAGAGTGATCAAAGCAGAAGGGAGTAAGAAGAGGTAGCAGCAAAGATGGCAAAATGAAGCAGGGAGGCTGAAAGAGGAGCTGCTGCTGGAGGCAATGGGTAAGGAAGTGGGAGGTGAGAGGGAGAGAAGTGGTGATGGGCCTGGTAAAGGGAGATGGGGAGAAAGGTAGGGAGAAAGAAAGTCATCATAATTGTGGTGGGGACGCTCTAGGCAGACGATGTGGCACAATTTGCCATTTCTATGATCAGTAGCTGCCTCTCTCACTTTAATGATAAGGACATCTCTGAGACATGGACAGAGCCAATTCCCCCTTACATTCATAAGGACCAACAGTGCAATCCTGTGGGCACCTACTCAAAAGTAAATTCCACTGAGATCCATGACGCTTTGTCTCAAGAACATATATATTGGATTGCAGCCTTAGATACCAAACACACTTCAGGTGTTAGAATTTAATCCTGAGAAACCAAATAGTGCACCAAGTGTTTGTGACTTTAAGAAAAAGTTGGGAAGTTCCCAGAAAAGCAATCAAAACACCAAGGGTCTGTGCAGGAACTATATATATTTATCTCACAGGAAATGGGGAAGTATTCTGTCCCCACTCCTTCTGTCATCACTTCTGAAGCCCTCTTACATATGGAAGGTGATGAATCTGATGAAGGAGGACTCCACTATCCATAGGGCTTATCCACATGACTCACAACTAGACATGGACACTTCCTGTATGTTTCCCTGGAAAAACTAATAAGAACTGTGGCACCAGAGGTGGTGCTGCAGTGGCCCAAACCAGAACTGGGCCGCTTACTGGGCTCCACATGGTGCTCAGCTCCACTGTTGTCATCACACCAATCATGGAAGGAGCCTGGCTGACTCTTGCCTACCTCCCTGCACAGCTGACCACGCATTGGGCAAGCAAGGAGACTCCCCTTACCGCCTCTGCGCTGAAGTGGTAGGCTACACATGGAGGCATGGAAGAGCCAGGTGGACTCTTTCTGGCATGATGACAATAGAGCCAAGTGCCACACACAGCTGGGTAAGTGGCCCGGCTGGGTTTTTCTTTGTGCGGGGGCGTGGGATTGGGCCACCACTACATTTGTGGTACCATGGTTTGTATTTGTATTTCCAGAGAAATGAGTATGAAGTGCCCGTGTCTTCTTGGGATCCTCCTTCAGACTCATTGTCCTCCACTTGGAAGAGGGAAATGGAAGTGAGGATAGAAGGAGAGGGGCTAGAGCACTCCCCTCACCATGTGGTGAATGTGCATAAATAGATAATATCTATTTAGGCCAACAGAAATGTGTATCAGGAAACCAAAGTCTAAACTCACTTAAAGATCAAACTAATTCACACACAGACACACACACACAAGACACACAAGATACCAACACTGCTTACTGTTACATACAGCACTGATGTTACCTGTCTGTCATGGGTTTGGAGGGAAAGTTCCATCCTATGGGGAGTGGAAGGCGGGACATCAGGAGGAGGGGCTGTACTGTATATATATGTGGAGCCTGTGTGGAGAAGTTAGCAGAGCTGGAGAAGAGCTGAGACAAGAAGCTTGAGTGGGAGTCTGTGTGTCAGACAGGGTACTACTGTGTGTCAGTCAGTACCAACCTGATAGGTTCAGGTGTCTGTATGGTTAGCCAGAACTGATAGGTTCAGGGTCTGTGCTTCAAGTTAAGTGTTCTGTGTGAACCAAACTGTGTGTATGTATGATTGAGATTAAGCCATGTTACTGTATCTTATTCACCTGATCATTTTATTTTCCCTGTGTGTTATGTAAATAGACCTTATTCTTTTATTTGTTGAAAATCCATCCCTGGTCTGTGTGACTTCTTATAGGGAATGGTTGGTGGCAGCTTAGTGAAACTGTGGCATATCCCAGTAGGTCTGGGTTTGTCACACTTACATCCTTCCAGACAGTTCAGGCTTATGAAGTCCTATTTTGCACCCCCACCCCACCCCCGAATGAATATTTTTCTTTCAAGAAGGTGTCATCTATCATTTCTCATTCACTTTTCCTCAGATTAGACACCATGGGGCCATCCTAATCTGAATCCATCCCATGTTTTTTTCAGTAACCATCAAGAAAAACATTGTGATCAAAAGATGATCTAGTTGAACAGCTCTAAACATTTCTGAACCATGCAGGTCTGTGATTCTCTGCAAACAACAAGGGTTGACACGAGTAATCCCAAAGCTCTGCACTTTCCCTGTTTTCAAGGCCCCAGACAAAGCAAGTCAGTTATCTATAAATGGTGATATTTCGCTAGAATACAGGAAGTTACTTTCTCTCCCCACCCACCACCCCGGATGAATTAAAATGTCCCTCCTAGCCTGGTAGCCAGTGAACAGCAACAACTGCTCATCAGTACTATCTCTAGAGTAAAGTTACTTTTTTGGCCAATAGCCAATGCTGGTTGAAAGCCTGGGGAGCTATAGTCCAAAAAATTGCCTAATTAAATGCCTCAGTTCTGTAATCACATGGGATCTACAAACTATCCATTTCCATCTCCTGTAATGTTAAGAACTCAAAGACCAAGCACCGCAATAAACTCACCATATTCACACATGGGCATAAGCCTCTGTTCCTATTAAGCTCTAATGAAAGGAAGCCCCCATTGGTTTCAAAGTGTGGGAAGCAGGAAAAAACATACCTCCTTGGGTAACTACAGCTGTTGCTGCCGCTGCTGCTGCCGCTCCTAAAGGAATGGGTTTCTTCCCCATTTCATTAAAGGCATTCCCCTCCAGAAGGGTGCTTTTCCCTTCTTTCTTCCCAGCAGTTGTTGAGGTGGATGTTTCCATCTTAGATGTGCATATTCCAGCTTCCCAATCCTTAAAAACAAAAACAATTTTTTTAAATAAAAAAAAAGAGACAGTTCAGCCATTTCCCCCATTAAAGATGCAAAAGCTGGTTTCAGGAAAGGACTTTCAACTCGTGCCAAGAGATAATTTAAAACAATAAGAATAAAGAGCTGTTTAATTGTTTGCAAAGTCTTTGTTAAACTATTGGTTGTTTAAAACCAGAAGGAATTTAAATCCATAAAAATGCCAGACTTTCATCTTTTGTTACGTTGGAGTTGATTTCATGCCAAAATTTAGATCTAAGTTTGCCTTTTTGAAGTCACCCCTCATGTCAAAAGCCTAGATAAGGAAAGCTTTGGTTCTGGCTCTTGAGTAAAACTTAATAGACAAGGTTAACAACACTACGAAGCAGAGGACATTTTGCATTTTTTTAAGGGAACTGCTTAGAAAATGCTTGAGTGTGAACCACTTTCTAAACATTCCTCTATCATGCCAACTGCAGAAAACTGTAGGAATTAATGGCAGGATGATAGAAAACAAACTTTGAAACTAGATCTCAGAATTTTAAGTCAATTTAACTAGGGTTTCCTCCCCCCCTTCTTCTTTTCAAAAAGTTACACTTTTTCATACTTTAAATTTTACAGTTTGTACTCCTCTTTCCCATTAAATGGATGGGACATTTTTTCTCAACTTTGGCTGAACGATTCTTTCTAATACTGTACTTTCCAATAGATAAAAACAGGTAGAATCCCAGAACAAATATAACAGTAGAAAAACTCTACCATGTCCTAGAAAAAATACAAAAGCCAACAAAAAAATGTGAGCGTAGAGGGCATTTTTATCTGATATAAATGAAATGGGGGTGGACAACTTTGGCGGGTCTAGGGTACCATTTGCTACTCCTCAGACCCTTTGGAGACCACGCGGACTATAAAAATTCAGAGGAAAGAGCAATGACACAAACATGAAGTGGCTAAAAGTTTTCTTCTCATTTTAAAAAAACTGGACATTTGAGGGAAATTATATGTTGGACTGACTGTAACCTAAAACACTGCCTTTACTAGGATTGGTTGGGAGGGACCTTTATGGGCTGGGGTGATTGTTAATATATTCAGCACTAACAAATCATTCTTTCCCTGTCCACACTTTGCCCATCCTTGAATTAAATGGGGAGTTGAAACATATGACCTAAAATTACTTAGTATGCCACCTTCCTATAAAAAAGCAGGGTAGGTGTGTTGACATAAAACAAATGCCAGTATTCATAGTATGGTGATAATATTTAGCAGGCCAACCAAAAAAAAAAAGGGGGGGGAGTACAAAAAAAGCACACACGTTTTCGAGATTGCTATTTCTTCATCAAGCAAGATGATATAAAATTAAGCAGCAGAAGGGAAAATGGAAATGCTTGATCCTAACTCCTGCTGTCTGTCTTGGAGGCAAGCTGCAGACAACAAACTGAGGCTCACTAGAACATAAAATAATGTTAGATTTCATGAATGTGACCGGTATACCTACAGAGAGCTAGAAAGTTAGAAATGTGTGGTCCTATGTTTTAGGCAATGGCAGTAGGCATCCTTCAGTCACGAGAGATTATGGTAACGTGCTCTGAAAGAGGTCTTGGTACAGTGTCTAGTGTGACTGAGAAGGCCAATTCAAGAGTGACAATCCCTTCCACGCTGAAGACAGATGCAATCTGTCCCCTGTCCAGCTCCCTGATTTTGCTGGTTTCAGGACTGCCTCTTTGCCTCGGCCTGCTGGACAAGTGTCTCTTCATATTGAGAGAAGCCATACTGCGCCGCCTGCCTCCAGGCTGAACGCTCAGATGTCAGGGTTTCCCATCTGTTGAAGTCCATTCCTAAGGCCTTCAGATCCTGCTTGCAGATACCCTTGTATCACAGCTGTGGTCTCCCTCTGAGGCAATTTCCCTGCACTAATTCTCCATACAGGAGATCTTTTGAAATCTGACCATCAGCCAATCTCACGACATGCCCAAGCCAATGTAGACATCGCTGTTTCAGTAATGTATACATACTAAAAGTTCCAGCTCATTCTAGGACTACTCTGTTTGGAACGTTGTCCTGCCAGGTGATACCAAAAATGCGTCAGAGACAACGCATATGAAAAGTGTTCAGCTTCCTCTCCTGCCGTGCACAAAGGGTCCAGGACTCATTGCAGCACAGGAGTATACTCAGGACACAGGCTGTACAGTGGTACCTCGCTTTACGATTGCCCCGCATTACGACGAAACCGCATTAAGATGATATTTTTGCGATCGTAATTGCAATCGCAAAATGATGGTCTGAATGGGGTTTTTTCACTTTGCGATGCTCAGTTCCTTGCTTCGGGAACTGATTCTTCGCAAAACGATTATTTTAGAACAGCTGATCAGCGGTTTCAAAATGGCCACCGGGTAAACAAAATGGCTCCCCGCTGTTTTCTGGGATGGATTCCTCGCTGCACAGGCACCGAAAATGGCTGCCCTATGGAGGATCTTTGCTGGACGGTGAGTTTCCAGCCCATTGGAACGCATTGAAGGGGTTTCAATGCGTTTCAATGGGCTTTTTAGTTTTGCATTATGACGTTTTTGTTCTACAGCGATTTCGCTGGAACGAATTAACGTTGTAATGCGAGGCACCACTGTATGGACCTGGATCTTGGTATATGCCGTCGGCTTCTTATTAAGCCATAGTCTCTTTGTGAGTCTAGAGAACATTGTAGTTTGCTTTGCCAATGTGTTTATCCAGCTTGACATCTAGAGAGTGTCAGAGATGAACATCTTAGCAGCCAAACTGTTTGGAAATAATTCATTCTACTAATTGAGACCAAGCTGTCTGGTTTTATCTCCAGTCCTTCACTGAGGACTGGGACTTCACCCAGTTCACTGAGTTCAAGAAAACACTGCAAGGATTGTGCAGTGCACCTAAACCACTGGAACACTAAAGGTATTGCCTTAATCTAGTCAGACCATTATTCCATCTAGCTCAGTACCATCTACAGTGCCTTTTCAGTTTTTAAAAACAGTGACGGACACAAGGCCAAATGTTTGTATGTCTTTGAATTTCCTACCCATTTTGAACAGTTCAGTGGTTTAAGCATTTGGCTGTGGAGCCAGAGGTTGGGAGTTTGATTCCCCACTGAGCCTCCTTGGCAGAGGCGGGACTCAATTATCCACAGGATCCCTTCCAGCTCTGCAGATCATCATCATTGTCATCAATTCATTTGTTTATTC